CATTCCCCAGCTGACACAAGTCCAAGGAAAGCAGGAGTGAGGAGAACAAATACTCCACTAGCAGACAAGTGTTCCTCTGGCCTGAGGACATCAATGATAAATGGCAGGTAGTACAAACTAATCCCTTTCTATCTGGACCACAGTTGATTGTGGTGACAGGATTGAGAGGAAAGCATATGTAACCTATTATACTGAATTGGACAATTTTAATTCTGGCACTTGCTAACTAGTTCAGTAGCATTGGTTCTGCATGGGGGGATAGGATATCATACCAGTGCTTTCAAGGTATACTCATGAAATCAGAGGAAGGGCAAGAGTATATAGGGAGGGAGAATTCCTTTGTACTCGTCTGCCTTTAGGAGACTACATTTACCTCCCTCTAACCAGCTCTACTCTCATCAAGTTTCTGCTTGCAGAATTTGTGGCCATCCCACCCTACTTCTCACACATGGTCTCTCTTTCCTCCACTACTGGTCCAACTCATTTCTCTTCTCTTCCCCCCCCTCCCTTTTTTTTTCCCCCAGTGTAGACAGGCAGCAAGTCTTTGCGCAAAAGTGGCTGCTTTTGCACAAGATCACGCCAATGTAGATACAGCCTGAGGGCTGCAGCTATGCCCAGACACTAGTCCAGTGACTGACAGCAGCAGCTTGTTGGCAAACATCAGCTACATACGGGCTTCCAGCAGCTTGGGTTACTACCTGTAGGGTGGTGATATGTGGTGAAATCTAGGGTGATACTCGGGCCTGGATTTGGCTCCAAGAGTGTGTTTTGCACTGCCCAGCCCTCTCTTGGACACTCCACCTATCTTAGCTCCATTGCCCCTCTAAAGCAGAGGTTGAAAACCTTTTCTGGGGTAGGGACCACTGCCCCACAGAAAAATCAGTCTGGCTACATGCAAGTGAGAAACAAAAACCACACAGACAGGGCCCTGGACTGATAAGCAAGGGGAAAAAAGACACTTGCATCACTTGTACAACTTGTGGGAAGGCATTTCAGTTCAGGGCTTTTCCCCTCCCCTGGATTAACTTTTCTGGAGGACCCAGAGCTATTAGATTTTTGGGAGGGGCCCCGTTATGCTGGGGGGCAGTTCCAGAGGGGATGGAGATAGTTATTTCGAGAGAGAACCCTTCTCTCAAAGTAACTGGTAAACATCTCCCCGTTATGCTGGGGGGCAGTTCCAGAGGGGATGGAGATAGTTATTTCGAGAGAGAACCTTTCTCTCAAAGTAACTGGTAAACATCACTGTATGAGGAATAAGGGTTATTCCAAGAGAAAGGTTTTCTCTCAAAATACCTGTGTCTTTACAGTGTCAGTGCTATTTTGAAATAATTCTGAAATAGCACCATAATGTGAATATGTAAGTGAAGCATGGGATATGTTAAATCCTGGCTTCATTTGCAATTCAAATGTCTTCATTTGCATCCCCCTCTCAAAAGAATTAGTTAATTCGAACTAAGCTAATTCGAACTAACGCATCCAGACTACAAAACTAGTTCAAATTAGCGTTTTGCTAATTTGAACTAGCATGTCCATACAGCGTGGACCCTGAACCGGGGTTAAGGATGGCCGGAAGCAGTGCCGGCAGGGCATCAGATGAGGACTTAGAGCGTGGAGCTGCTGTCTCAGGCTAGCTGAGGGCTGTGCTTAAAGGGACCCAACCCCCACCCCGGACAGACAGTTTTCAGGGGTGCCCCGCTTGCAAAGCAGTCCTGGCTTGGAGTGCCCTGAGTGCCTACACTGGGCACATCACAGCACTCGGCCATCAAACTGGCTGCATTTACTGCAGGCTGCCATCTGGGGAGAGGGGGCAATTGTGGGGCTGCAGGAGAGGTTCCACCCCCAGAAGCCCGCAGAGCCAGCCCAGTCCTCCCCATCGGGGGCTCATACCCTATTCCTCCCTCACCTCCTTCCACTTACCCCTGCCTAGCCCCCCTTCCTGATGTACAAAATAAAGGACACGTGTGGTCAAAAATAAAACTCTCTTTATTGAACAAAACTCGGGGAGACTGGGAAAAGGAGGTGGGAGAGGGGAAGAGACAGGGTGGGAGAAGGGAAGGCAACTACAATGATGAGGGGTTTGAAACAGGTCCCATATGAAGAGAGGCTAAAGAGACTGGGACTTTTCAGCTTAGAAAAGAGGAGATGGAGGGGGGATATGATAGAGGTCTATAAAATCATGAGTGGTGTGGAGAGGGTGCATACAGAAAAGTTCTTCATTAGTTCCCATAATAGAAGGACTAGAGGACACCAAAGGAAAGGAATGGGTAGCAGGCTTCAAACTAGTAACAGAAAGTT